ACTGCTGCTGTGCTTCAGTCAGCTGGGAGTGTACGTGGATGCGACGGGACGACGCTCACGAACGCAGGAGCTGATGTGGCCCGCCACACCACTTGCCTGCAGTAAGTGTCTCTAAAGAGTTTGTGTGGGAAGGAAATCATAATTGGTGAAAGTATCTAAGCAACGGTGTGTTTTCATGTTTTCAGCCCTCCTGAAATTCCAGTGTTTTTCATGTGTAGACTTGGAGGAAGGGAGGAGTGGGAAAGAATAGAGGAGAGATGGCAAAGCAAGGAGGAGGTAGAGAAGACAGATGAGAACTAGAGGTTTAAAAGAGGTGCAACAAAAATGTTCAAGTGTAGTTGCTGAATTGTTTTTAATAGTGTAATTCTCAAAAGTTTCTTTACAAAATCTTATGAGTTAAATGACAGGTAGCTATCCAGTGATTCTGGTCAATACCGATAAGCCAATAATTAGTTTCATGTTGTGACCAATAAATGGTCTATACTATAAAAAATTATAATAAAGCTAACAAAGGAAAATCAATTATTTTAAATGCTACAAGTGAATGTAGGTGTCACATCATTATAATGTACACTCAGAAAATGGATATTTATGGATTACATTTAACAGTGTTATTCCATTTATTAGCATTTTTATAGGTTAACTTTGAGTGATAGATGAGAAAGTTAATCTAAATATAAAAATAGAAGAGATGTAATGTGAGTTTAGCCTTAATAAGTGAATTTATTTGATGGTAACCATTTCAACTTGTAATTTGACATGGAGGAAAAGAAAAGAAACCAAAACCAAATGCTGGCTGTTCTCATTAAGGAAATTAGTGCAAGGCTTTATCAAACCGGAAAGTAAGAGGCGACCATGGGAAAGCTGTGGCCAACTCCATTAGGGGTGTGAGTGGAACAAATGGGCGGCAGTAAACAAACGTAAGCAGAAAGGTCAAGGGAGCAGATAAGGACAGTATTGTAGAATGTAGCTATTATGATCTAATGCGTAATATTTAAAACAATCCAATCAATCCATGAAACATCTTGAAATTTAAGACAAGCGTGAGGCCCTCCTAACTTTAAGAAGTTGTTTTTTTTTTTAAATAAAAATTTTCAGGAATTTGAATTATTACGTATTTTCTTAGGAACTGTGTTAATTAAATATAATACAATTATTCTTAAATCTTTTCAACAATACTTGATATTATTTCACTTTTTAGAATTTTATTCTTAGCACTATTTTGGGAATCGGGCCCCAGATGTTTCAGTCAGAAAAGTGAGCAGCTATCCAGCCTCTGACCCAGTTTCTGGGCACGTCAGGCAGTCCTTTGAGAACAGCATCTTGAATGATTTGCCTACTGCATTCTTCTGATCATGAGCATGAGATCTCAAACCCATATTCGTTATTTTCAGGCTCAAACTCGAACTACCTGACGGTGTACAGTGATTATGGTGTAGATGTGTTTGACGTCCACACCACAGAATGGGTCCAGACCATCTCATTAAGAGGAGTAAGTGAAAGAGCCTAATTTTAGGGTTTCTGAAAGCTGTTTCATATTTAACTGTTTGTATTAATGATTTAAAACTGATCAGAATTTCAACTGTGTCTGTAGATTCGGCCCCTGAATGTGGAGGGCAGTCTGAACCTGTTTGGCTCTGAGCAGCCCCATCTCATCTACTTCAACAACAACTCCTCAGGTCTGATCCCACCCTACACACACTTCACCATGTCAACACACATATCTCCCACACACTGAACCTTGTGTCTCTGATTACAATTCAGGTGGACACTTCTTTACACAGGAGGTGAAAGTGATGTCAATCCCTCCCTCCCACCTACACAGACACTGACGCACGCATGTGTGTATATATATATATATATATATACTAGCAAGCCCATACATGCAAAAAAACTCAGCAATGGTGGAGATTTTGATTCATCTCAGTGACTTGAATTTATTTTAATCTGTTCACTAGAATGATTTATTCAATGATTCGTTCAGTGGCACTTACTGCCGATTGCATCTTTATGCTGGTATGTGATGACAGTTAACTTTGAATGTTATGAGTCACTGAATTATTCACTCAACCAATTTTTTAAAACACTGTGTTCGTGACCGAATAACTCTTAAAAAGTGTTAAGCATCATAAGGTTTTTTGAATTTGACGTCTTGTTCAGTGCTGTTCTTATTTAGACTCGAAGCTGAGCAAGTGGTCATATTTGTTCAGTGCTTCTTGACAGCATGCTCTTGAATGCTCTTTGCTCTTTTTAAAGTCATATTTTGGCATCTCTCCTCTGTGAAGCACATGCGTATTTTCCTGTCTTCAGTGAAAAAGAGTCTATTACTTGGAAGATTTTTTTCTCAAAAACACTGAATGAGTCAATGTGTATAAGTAAATGAGAATTTTTTTTGTTCATGTACAAGATTTGTTTTAAAACACTGAATATGAGTCATTTGAGGGAAATGATTGAGGACTAATTAGTTACAAGATGTATACAAAAACACTGAAAGAATCGGTGCATAGAAGTGAATGAAAATTATTTGTTCAAAGATTTGTTTGAAAACTCAATGTGGGTCAGTAGATAGAAATGAATAACAAGATTAATTCAGTAACACTGAATCGGTGCATAATGGTGAATGAGAATTTGTTCATTTACAAGATTTACAAACAATAACTATTTGTTCACTTATGGGATTTGTTCAAAAACACTGAACAAATGAATCAATGAGTGAGAATGATTTGTTCCGTTTATAAGAGTTGTTTAAAAACACTAAATATGAGTTAGTTGATAGAAATGGATGAAAATGATTTATTTACAAGATTTGTTTAAAAGCTCAATGGGAGTCAGTAGATAGAAATGAATGAGAACTAATTGTTCATTAACAAGATTTATTCAGTAACATTGAATCAGTGCATAGTGGTGAATAAGAATTTGTTCATTTACAAGATTTATTTAGAAACATTGTATACGAGTCAGTACACAGAATTAAACAAGAACTATTTGTTCACTTATTGAATTTGTTCAAAAACCCTCAATGAATCGGTGAGTGAGAATGAGTTCATTTAATTTATAAGAATTGTTTAAAAACACTAAATATGAGTCAGTAGATAGAAATGAAAGACTAATTGTTCACTTACAAGATTTGTTCAAAAACACTAAATGAATCAGTACACAGAAGTGAAAGTGAATGATTTGTTCATGTGTAGGATTTGTTCAAAAGCTCTGATTTGTTCACAAACAAAACACCACTAGGTCTCTCCATTAGATCAGCCCAGGTAATGAAATGTACAGCTCCACCCTTTGTGGTCCATTTACAATTAACTTCCTGCCCACTTTGGCAGATTGCTCTCTTGATAAAGATGCTTTTGTTTGGTAAACTGGAATGACCTCATTTGTCACACCTCCTCTAGGCCTGCTGCCAACAAGTTCCACAGTACGTTCAGACACAGCGGCTTTAGAGCTCAAAAACCCAGGACTGCCATAGTTTGAGCCACAACCATCTTTCTCAACCTCATTCACACTCTTGTTTCCACAGATGGCTGTGATCTAGCCATCCCTGAGACCTCGGACAACAGCAAGAAGCTGATGGTGAGGACACGCAGCAA